ATCGATCAAATAATCGCCCGATTAATCGTTTTCAAAATAATCGTTTCCCCCCAGCACTACTCCTTACTAAGTATTATCAGGGATGCAAACTCATCAGGTATGAAAAAGGTGACAAGGACCCGAGCCCCCCGACCCCACGGAATATCGGCTTTAAAATGAGGAATAACAGAGGATTTTAGCAGTCAAAACAACTAAAGCAGCAGTGTTAATAATAACAGAAACGCTAAAGAGTCACATCTAATAGAAATATATAAAAGCATTTATTTTAATTGTGTAGCAGTCAGTTTATAATTTTGGCAGCACTGTTGAGCATTTTGAAAATCTATTGTCATGCCTCTGTGCAAGGCTTAGTCTTTCTATCTTTATGGCATCTGGTGTAAAGTAACTAAATGCATAAACTCAAGTAATATAGCCTACTTGGGTACAATTTTGAGATACTTGTACTTTATTTATTTCAATGTTTTGCTACTTTGTTCTTCTTCTCCTCTACAGTTCAGAGGTAAATGGTGTACTTTGACTCCACTACATGTATTAATACTAGGGCTGTCAAGTTAACGCGTTAATAACGCGATTAACGCATGTGTATTTTTTTCCCTCGGCCGCCCCGTAGTTTCAGAGCGCATCGAGTTTAAAATACCTTCTACAAGCTGATAATGACAGCCCCGCTCCTACCGTCCGCTTGTGGCAGACCACACTTCCACGCTCACCGGCAGGCACCGACTGGCTACTGGGAGGACCGGGAGGGTGTGTGTATGTGTGGCCCGAGCGAGCGAGAGAGAGACCGTACGTGCATTGTTGTTGTTAGCATCTGGTGCTAGCTAGCTGCGCTAACGGATATACGGAGCTGTTTAAATGAAAACAGAGGAGCGACATTTCGACACAACTGCGCCGAGCACTTAACTTTATGCAGGAAGCCAGACAGTGGGACATTGTACGAAAAGTCAGCACACTCAGCACGGATAGTGCGCGCAACATGATTGCAGCGTCCAGGCAGCTCCCGTTCGAGCATATGCCTTGAGTTGCACATAGCTCCAACGATCCATCACACACACACACACACACAATTTGTATTGTATTATTGAATGAGAGAGGTTTCCAGGTTGAATTGAGGCGAATATTTGTAATGTTCAGAGGTTGTTGTGTTTAATATTCATGAGAATATTTGTCATTGTTCAAATGATAATAAACATTAGCATAAAGCATATTTGTCCACTCATATGTTGATAAGAGTATTAAAAACTTGAAAAATATTCCTCTAAGGTACATTTAGAACAGATCAAAAATGTGCGATTAATTTGCGATTAATCGCGATTAACTATGGACAATCATGCGATTAATCGACTGACAGCCCTAATTAATACCTTTTAGTTACTTTACAGATGTGGATGAATGATGTGAAATCTAATCAAGTGTTGAATCAGACTTTAGTTCCACCTGGAGTAAATCCACAAGCTACCCTGCAGTATACAAAGTCATTCAAACTAGCTGCACCTTTACCAGCTTTGAGAACACTTTCATGATCAATCATTATAAAACATATCATATATATTATTCTGAAATGGACCAATCTGCACAACGACTACTTTTACTGTCGTTACTTTCACTATATTTTGATGAGAATACTTTTCTACTTTTACTTGAGGAACATTTTGAATGCAGTACTTTTACTGTAACTTAGTATTCCTACACTCTGATACTTCTACTTTTACTCAAGTACAAGACCTGAGTACTTCTACTTTTACTCAAGTACAATATCTGAGTATTTCTGCTTTTACTCTAGTACAAGATCGGAGTGCTTCTACTTTTACTCAAGTACAAGATCTATACTTATACCACCTCCGTTTATAGCCTATGAAAAAAAAACTATTAGAAAACGAAGGCTAAAGCTAACGTTAGCAGATAGTGACAATGTATGCTAGCTAGCTAGCTCAACGATAATATTGCGACAGAAAAACTTTTCAGTGCACATCACGCTCTGCGCTCCGACAGGGAGCTCTGCTCTGAACACCTGAACGGCCCATTCTAACAGCTGTTCACCAGCGGTCCAGTCTGTACCACAGTGACTCCGGACCGCACAGTTAATATTAACGAACGCACCCGTAGGTAATGTGGCTGCTGAAGCTAGATCATCATCGCGGAGCAGCAGAGCCGACAGGCAGGAAGACTCGAGCACACAGCTCGCGCTGCATTATAATATATAAAAAAAGAACACCATGCGTGTCATGACGGCACATAACAGCTCGCGGCCGCAGATTACTCCGGGTCCCAGACCCCCCCATACCCCAAAAATATTTTTATTGCAGATCTACATGAATCACACAAACGACCTATTTTGGATTCAAAACGGCGAATTTCGCCGAAAGGTGAGTGATTTTCATGCCTGTATTTTGTGACAAATGAACGTTTTCGTAGTTTGCCGAGGCAATTAATGGCAATAACTGTCTAATATGGCTATCTTTTTAGCTAACTTACCAATGTGGTTCTGGTTCTGGTGTGAAATAAAGCACAATAATTACATTTAAGACTGTTTCCTGTTTTTTAAGAAAAGTATCGAAAAATAATCGGAATTGCAATTCTTGACTTGGTATCGGTATCGAAACCAAAATGTTGGTATCGTGACAACACTAGTGTGCTGGCTATCCAAAGATCTCTCAAACCCTTAACTCTAGGATTTATGCATATAACTGGTGGTGGTTTCATAGCACGTCAGCATGTATACGTGTCTCTCATCTTGATCTTGAAACCGCGGACATTTTATTTTATGTTATAATAAGTGAATGCCAGTAGATCAGCGCGGGCCATGCATTTGCCTCCCGCGGGATAAAATATCGTTTAAAATTGTGTTACGATGTCTAAAGTTACTGATAAGTCACATGTTTCCTGCCTGGCCTTGCCCATGGCATTAGTTTATCATTACCGGGCGGAGCCCCCGAGACAAACAGCAGCAACAAGCACGTTGCAAAAGTCTCAATAGTAAACTGTGCCGCCGAAACATAATTTCAGCCAATCAGCGCCGTCAAATATTTTGGTCACGAGGGCGCTCACGTTGGCACCCACGTTGCTTACGTGACGTGAGTTGTTTTTTAGACTTGTGAGTGACCAAGGTGACGCAGTATTTAGAATGGTGTGCAGGTGGAGTCGCCGGATCTCGGTCCACACCCAATTCCGTGCAAGAGCTACTCTCCAATCCTTTCCAAAGGAGAAGTTTGGGAGATAAATTGATACTTAAAGACCTTGGACCGGACCAACCCGATTTGTATATATCACAGCAAGCTCGTGAAAAAGACAAAACGTATCAACGAGGCTAGCTGGATGCAAACGATGCAAACAGGTAAATGCTATCTTTTGTTTCCCATGCTTGCTCTTCAAACAGCCGGGGACAGATACGATCTGTTCAGAAACTAGACAAAAGTTAAACAAGTACAAACCACAGACTGTCTATGTCATGGAGAATACAGTCGCTGGTTTATTTATGTCTGTATAGGCCGTTGTTGTGAGTGTGGACGGTCGGAACATATATAACGTTAGCTTAGCCAAGCTCCATTCAGAAAACAAGCATTCTAAAAGGTTTTTCGCCTGCCGTCTGTCTGCAGACTTGTCAAAGCATTAATTCATGGTTTTTACTAACCGGTATCAGTATGTTGTTACGTCGGCATCATTTAGAAACGTGTATTACAATTTAAGCACGGTAAAATATGTTCATTTTGTTGTAGTTGTAGCTCCCGAGCCAGCGCGTCTTGTTTGAATGATGCGAGTAAACACAGCTGGCAGCCGCGGTGAAACTCGAGCGACTAGAGCGATGCGATAGGAGCGTTTAGAGCGAAGCGAATATTCGCATCGCGTCCGGTCTGAACGCAGCATTAAAGCGAGCTCCGCGCTGCACTGGAAACGCGCCATTATATCACCAGAAGTCCTAATTTAAGGGGTTGTTTTTACTCACTATATCAATAGCCCCACCAAAAATATTTTCCACCAGCCGCCACTGGTGTCTGTGTGTAATGGAGATCCCTGCATCGTCACGCCGTTCGACCATCGTGTCGGCGTAGTCGAGCCCTGCGTAGCCAGGCAGGCGACCCTCGGGTCGTTTTCATATAAGCCCGGCACTGATTTCGGCAGTCAGCATCTTACGATGTACTAGTAAGCCCGGCAGTGATTCCGGCAGCTTGCTTGATCCACGTGTTAATTTCTCATTTCATCCATAGATCACCGCAGTCAGCCCGCAAGGTAAGAAACTCATTACATCTCAGTATATTATACTTCACTTCTTTTGGGGGGTTTCATCGGAGCGGTTCTTCCCCCTCCTGAATGATTATCCTGCAAACTGGGGCCTAATCGCCAAACACCATTCCATTTACCTGTTATAATTCTGGCAATCATTATTACTTTCATATTATGTGTCCCGGTAATAAATATGTATTTAATTTCATACATCAACGTCTCTCCTGATTGAAATGAAGCTCAGCGCAAGTTCAATCAGGAAGACCAAGCTCTTCATTCATATTACATGTCATTTCAATACTCTCTCCTCCCTCATTAAGTGATCGGGGGCGTCACTCCCCAGCTAACCAATCACTCCTCTCTCCATTCTCACAAGCCTATCGTTGCACCCGCTAATCCCTTTAAATCTGCTCTTCCCTCTTGTCAGCTGTCATTTCAGGTGACAATACGCAACCCTCCTCCACCCCTCTCGCCTCCCGTCTCCTACAGGGCCAAGCTAAACCTTCTCCCTTCAGACCGGTCCCGCCTACTTATCACCACCACCAGTGTCTAGACCCCGGGGGGTTTCATCGGAGCGGTTCTTCCCCCTCCTGAATGATTATCCTGCAAACTGGGGCCTAATTGCCAAACACCATTCCATTTACCTGTTATAATTCTGGCAATCATTATTACTTTCATATTATATGTCCCGGTAATAAATATGTATTTCATACATCAACGTCTCTCCTGATTGAAATGGTGTGATGTGGCACTGAGCCGGGTGGTTTTATGCCAGCGCACATGGCACAGTTGACTTCTTTGTCAAACACTGATGGAAAAAAAATGCTAATGTTACATCTCAAGTACAACAATATCACAATTGAATTGACATTTTGAAAATGTAGCACGCACCTGATGCTGTCAGTATTTCCATGGCCAACACTTTTCTTTGATGCGCCATCTCCTTTTTTGTGGTCCCAAAGGCCATTGTTGGTGTTTTAGGAAACACTTCCATGACCTCCTTTGCCATCTTAAAGTGATACACCATTTTATGTTCTGAAAATAACTATCCAACTACCCCAAATGTGTTTTTGGGAAAGGCAGTAAAACAGACTTAATCCAAAAAGCTGAAAGAATGTTGTATTGGCAAAAAGCATATATGAAAAAAAATATTACACTTACCATGCAGACAACTACCCCACAGCTATTGCCATCCTGCTGTACTGGGTGTTTCATTACTCCTCCTTTCCATTTTATGTCTACCCAGTCTGTCTGCAGCAGGTCCTCCTCATTTTTAAGTAATCACTGCGTGAGATAAGATATATTATTAACGTACAATGTATACTGTATAAATACAATACTCGCATAATAAAATAAATCCTTGTCAGACTGTGTCTCAGCAGTCGAGTAACACAATTTGAAGTGATGTTAATGCATGTTTCCCAAATGTATATTTTAAGATGTAACATGCAGATACCTAGTCTGATATCAAACTGAATTGACAATTGTTCACTCTAAGGACAGGTTGTTTATTCAGTGGATTGGGTGATATGGTATAATCGGTATGGACCAAAGTCAAACATGCACACATTTTTCACACATTATATATTCTGGTGTAGTAGCACATAAAATAAAAAAACAAAAGGGCTGGTTGTGGCAATATAGCTGATCCATCTATTCCCACATAAATATAACAATACATATAAACATAATATATGAGGGAATATAATGAAATAAATATTTTTGAAAAATAGGTGAAATTGTATGCAGTTAGTACCTGATTTTTTTGGCAGCATTGTCTGAGTTTTGTTCGTTGCGTGCAGGATCTGCCAAATACACTGTGCTTTCTTCAGCATTGATGTACTGTGGACACAGAAAAAGAAATATATATTTTTGAAATAAACACGACATCTCCAAAAACTTGGCTGATCAAGAAATATACAATGATATGATATAGACACTACTAACCAGACATGTCCAGTGTACATACAGTCTACTCTACATGTACAAAGGACACAATGTAGCTGTCAAAGTGTATCTGTAATACATTAGAACAAAACAACTTCCATTTCCCATCAGGCTGTATTTATTTTCTTTATACAGTAGTGTCAAATAGCTTGATAGAGTATGTTTATATTTAGACAAAGACATAAGGAAAACCTTTGTAGTTATCCTCAATAGAAACACAAGTTACCTTGGACAAAGTGTGCTTCCTGACCTCTTCTCTTTTCCCAAAGAGGATCACACCAGCTGTGTAGTGGTTGAGAATATACATCCTTGTCCCCAGTTTACATTTATGTGCATGTATATGGAAAAGTCACTCGATGATCTGGAGAGAATGTCGACAAGCAGACATTAATAAGAAATACAATTATATTAAATAATAATGTAGTTGACAGGTGTCAAGCTTTGTTGATAAAATCTGAAAATTATAACAGTGAATGACCACATTTGACTACTTCTTCTAGTGTACAATAAAAGTTAAATATTCAACTGTGGATGCCTTTTAAGATTCACTTTTAAAAACAGTTTAATACATTTTAGGCTTTGGGTGCTAACAAGACTTCAGTGGTGTGCCATGAAGCTAGCGTTACATGAATATTGGATTAATGTGTAGTGAAGAGACTTGGTATGAGCACTGGTTCTGTCCTATAATATGCTTGAAATACCTTGCCTGTAAGCCACTGGTGTGGTCTAAGGGTCCGTATGTCAGAGTGACGGATGGTAAAACTGTTGCCTCTTACACCTCAGTGTCCTTTTTTTCCCACAACGCGGTCAGCTGGGGGTCATAAAAAAAATACTATATCATTTGTATGTCTAGATTGTCTAGATCAGTGCTTCTCAAACTCTTTTAAGTAATGTACCCCCTTTGAAACATTTTCTCAGCCAAGTACCCCCTGACCGACCCGAACGTTTTTGATCGAAAAAGCCTATATAAATGATTACAATGTAGTGATGTTCCCTCAGTGTGTGATTTATTAACTCCTTCGTGCATGCACAACAAACTAAGGATATTTTCATCTTCATGCATGAAAAAAAACAACATAACAACGTTTTTATAAAACAGATTTTTCCAAGGAGTTTTTCAATTTAAGTCATATGTTTAACAAACCAATGAACAAAATTATATATTGTGAAAAACTATAAAATACATACACATTTGACATGTTTATATGAGGACCCCCTTGGTGGTTCTAGGAATATTTTATATACAATTGTGTTTTCTATGTAACTTATTGTACTGAGATTATTTTTGTAATCATGCATGGTATTTTTTTAATTAACCTTTTTTTAATTTAATTTTTTTAATCTCACGTACCCCCTGCAGTACCCCAACGTACCCCCATTTGAGAATCACTGGTCTAGATTGTTAACAGAGCATGAGATACACATTGTAAATTGAAATGTATTATTTTATAACGTTCCTTACATTCAAATCTGCATTTTAACTTTTTAGTTAATCAATTATTTTACTATTTTTATCTGGTCCCTCGGATGAACTCCCTGATGATGTGTCCTTACAGTTTCTTACCTCTGATGAAGCATCCACTCCCTTTGTGTCATCCTCAGCATGCTCCATCATTTCTGATGTGGATGAAGATTGACCTTGTCTTGCCTTGTCTTTTGGATCCTGTATAGAAGACGAAACATCAACATTGCCTTTCACATTGTCCAATATGTGTTGTTAAGTGCACGTCATAGTTAATCACTTCATCACACAATTTGAATCTTCAGTTATTCTATCATTACCTATACTATTGTTTTTGTTTTGTTTGTCTACCCTCCCTCCCAAATGTAAAGCGTCTTTGGGTTCAAGAAAAGCGCTATAGAAATCAAATGTATTATTATTATACTAATAGAAAATGCAACATTAAGCTGTAGATTCCAAGCTGGTTTAGATGTATGTGTTTCAAATGCTTCCTGGCTTTGTGTTATGTTCACATTTCGCACCCTTTGGTAATGTTCGGGTCAAATTGACCCGGGACATATTTCAGGGTTTAAAAAAAATACAGAATTGAATTCAACATGCACAATTCCTTATATATATTGTCTTTAACTCATTCCCCAACAATATAAATGAACTATATGATTAGTTTTTTAAAATACTCTTTGCTAGATCAAATTTAACAATGGAAGTGTCCATCGTTTTTTGTGATACAAATGTAATTTATGTTAAAAAACACTGTAATAAAAACTAAGTTTACATTTTGCTCATGCTTTTCTAGGACTAATGTAAATGAAACATTTTTTCATTAATGTTTATTATTTTTATTCTGTCATATAATAATCAAAGCCCTGACGGAAATAAAGCAATTTATCAGCAATTGGAACACAAGAACCACACAGCCAAAAGTATTTGGCTGTGAAATATAGAGGGAATGAAACAAATGACATAGAACATATAAACACAAAGCAAATAAAAACAATTAACAGTTCACTATTCATAAAATACAGTATATCCGAAAAATATATTGATGAAGTGACGCTGCAGAACATCATGTGAGTCAATGGGCAAGTCCCTTTAGGAAACACATGATGTACAGAACTTCTTCGTGTGTATAGCACAGATGTACTTGTTGCAGTTGCTGCATGTAGTCTGTGTCTTGGAGTCCTTTGAGGGTCCACAGACCTCACAGCTGGCTGTGGGGGTCTTCTTGCGGCTGGCTGTGGGGGTCTTCCAGCAGCTGGCTATGAGTCAAGTTCATCTTCCAATTTGCTGTCAAATTCTGAGTTTACCTCCACATTATCCTCATCTTCAGAAATGTCTTCCTGTTCCACTTCACCGTGTTCTTCTAATGCATTCCACTCACTCTCATCCATTATTAGCTCCAAGGCTCTTTGAGCAGAATATCTTTGGTAGATAATTGTAGTTCTGCACTACACTGTTACTACACTGAGGTTATGTCTCTGTTTAGTCCCTCCTCCGGCGTGCAGGTGCGAGGGGGGACAGTGCGAGAAAATGTAAAATGTTTATACATTTCTGGAAGATCTAAAATGTTTATAATGTTCTAGGATAGTTTTGTGTACACACTACAAAGGGTAAAGATCAAGGGAAACCAGGATCAAACAGCTTCTCTATGCATACAATTGTGTGTGTGTGTGTGTGTGTGTGTGTGTGTGTCTTTAGTTTGTGTGTTTCTGTGTGTTTTTCTCTGTCTGTCTGTCCTGGTATTGTATCCGGGTCAGATTGACCTGAACCTCTTATGAAGGACATAAATGCGGGTGGGCATTTTTTCATAAGTGGAAAAAAATAAAAACAATTCCACATGTCCTTCACAATAAATAAGCCCCGGCCATTGAATTTCAGGTTGAACGAAAATATCCTTATATATTTTTTTATTCATTGAAAATGGAAATCGGGTCAATTTGACCCGAACACCACACAAGGGTTAACCATGCTAAATGGGATTACCTGTGATGGAATATGTGCTTCAGTTTGTTTATGGGTGTCACATAAACTCCTCGCCTGTTCTGCTTTCTTTGTTTCCATCGCTCCATGTCCACACGATGGGTCTGCAGTTAATAAGGAATATTGACAGGGTAAATGCACTCTTAAATTACCTTTCATTACATATTCTGCCATTTCACATTATCCAATGTTGTTTTCTTTTCACAACAAACATTTTCTTTGCCTGAAATAAATGTATTATTTCACTGTGGTCACTGTCAATGGCACTGTGGCCACTGTCGATGGGGCAGGCCGTGTGGTCACTGTCGATGGCACTGTGGTCACTGTCGATGGGGCAGGCCATGTGGTCACTGTCGATGGCACTGTGGTCACTGTCGATGGGGCAGGCCGTGTGGTCACTGTTGATGGCACTGTGGTCACTGTCGATGGGACAGGCCGTGTGGTCACTGTCGATGGCACTGTGGTCACTGTCGATGGGACAGGCCGTGTGGTCACTGTCGATGGCACTGTGGTCACTGTCGATGGGGCAGGCTGTGTGGTCACTGTCGATGGCACTGTGGTCACTGTTGATGGGGCAGGCCGTGTGGTCACTGTCGATGGCACTGTGGTCACTGTCGATGGGGCAGGCACTGTGGTCACTGTCGATGGCAATGTGGTCACTGTCAATGGGACAGGTTGTGTGGTCACTGTCGATGGCACTGTGGTCACTGTCGATGGGGCAGGCCGTGTGGTCACTGTTGATGGGACTGTGGTCACTGTCAATGGGACAGGTCGTGTGGTCACTGTCGATGGCACTGTGGTCACTGTCGATGGGGCAGGCTGTGTGGTCACTGTAGATGGCACTG